ACTTTAATCATTTTGATAAATCACAGCCACTTTGATTATGTTATGTTTCCGATGATATAAACATTGGAAGGCACAGTGGTAACATTGTAGCATTCTAACCTTGTACCTCTGAAAATCCCAGAATAGGGTCACAAGCGCAGCTTCACAAGCCAGACAAACTGTTTTTTGCCGAGTCTTGGTAATGCTGCTTGTAATATCTACACACGATGTGACTTTTATGTCCTGTGTTCCCAAAAGACTGGAGAAACAATTTTCTACTGATTTATGAATGAGAAGCAACATCAGGGTCAGCACTTCTTCCTGCACCACCCCTCCGGAAGCAGAGTTGGCACTACAGGTTACGATAACAAACTGGGAAAAGGGACAGAAATAAGACCAAAAAAAAAAAAAAATCCATATTTACAGTAAAATCTTTCTTTTAAAAAAGTTAATCAGTACTATTTTTTTACAGGAGAAAAAAGTCTGAAACAAATGAACAAAAGCTTACCATAGTCACTAAATTTTTAATATATATTTATATATATATTTATATATATATTTGTCATAGGTCTATAAGATCCATCTGTTCCTCCTACCCTAAGGAATGGCTAATGTCATCATTTCGTTGTCATCAGGACGTTTGCTGGTTTTGTTACTAGGGCAGCTGAGCTTCCCCTCTTTCGATATCCAGGAATTATAAACACTAGCTGACTTGAATACCAACAAAAACGTTCACGTAGTTTTCTTCAGAAGTACACTTTTTCATTATTGCAAGTTTACAATTTTTTTTAAATTAAATATTTTTTTTCAGACTTACAAATTAATTATATTTTTTTTTTCCAAAAGAAGTTTAGGCACAAATGCATTGTTCCACAGTGTGGAAAGATTGCCATTCTGTCTCTGGGCTGTGTCTCAGCCTGTACATACTGCTTTGCACATTCTGAATGATATGTTAAGGAAGGCGTCCCCTCAAGTTGCACTTTTTTCTTTCTTTTTTTTGTTTGTTTTTCTGTTTTTTGATAATTGGGAATGCTGAAACCTCTTGCGTCTGTGATTCATAACTACTCAGACTTGTCTTATATTACAAAAAAAGGGGTTAAGGAGAAGTGTTTATGTGGGTTTAAGATAATACAGCTGTTAAGGAAGTGGTCTCTTGTTTTAATGAAGCAATGTGGCAACTTGGACCTGAGAAAGGAAAAAGAGAGGAAAATTAATTAATATGTTTATTAAAAAGGAAGTGGGTTTTTTTTTCTATTTTTTTTTTAAAACTTTTTCAAGAAAGAAAAATATCTGTTCTTTGGGTAAAAGCTAACTTTTATGGCCGACACGCAGGTGAGAGTTATGCGTGAAGAGAAATGGTGGAAAACTGACTTACCCTTTCACATCTGTCCCATGTGATTGGATGCATCTCCCATTCCAGGGTGGGGGCCAGCCAAGGAGAGCGGAGGAGGCTCCGAGGACACCTTTTCTTCCTCCCTTCTTTTCAGACATGCTGCTTTTGGATTCAGATTCCTTTCTGTGGAGATGAGAGCATGGGGTCCTTCATCAATGTCAAGGTTCTGGCAGAGGGCACTGACACACTTGACTGGGTATGTCTGACTCTTTGGCTCAGCTTTTACCTTACAGAGTGAAAGGACTGGTTAGGGAAGGTGTACTATGGAGATTCATTTGGTTGGTCAGTGGGAAAAGTGAAACTGCACAGATATCTGTACAACTACTTTTATTGGTAAAGCAAATAAACTAAGCTCCGATTACTGACAGTACAAGTAAAAGGTTATAATGAACGTCAGTTATAAGAGAATCCTATAACTTAATTATGGCAGAAAAGACACTTGCCTTATGGACTTTTCTACCTGGTCTGCACTTGAACAGTAATTCTGAGGGTGTTTAAGTCTGTACAATTAATATATGCTAATAAAAAAAACAAAATGGAGAACAAAAGTCTAAATGCTGGCTGCCATGTGTGGCTGGGCTCACTGACCTCGAACTTGCTGCTCCAGGCTGAGGATGACAGCCACGGCCTGGTGGAGGATCAGGAGCTTGGTTTGGGGTTTGTCACTCTTGAGGTGGAGCTGCACCATGCGGCCGAGCTCCTTGAAAGCCTCGTTGATGTCACGGACTCGCAGGCGTTCTCGCGCATTGTTAGCCATCCTCCGCTCCTTCTCACGCTCTGCCTTCTGCTCCGGGGTCAGGTCCTCATCATCATTATTGCTGCAGGAGAAAAGGGATGCGACATTTTCTAATGGTGTGGGGAAAAGGAAGGTATTGAAATTACACTGTTTTCTTCCTGAGTTGCCAGATAACATTTCCATCTCAATCCATGTCCTTGGCAGAACTTTGTATCCACTTGACTTTGGGGCTTGTTTGGATGGCTGTGAAAGTCCATCCATAAGACATCTGGTTTCTTCTAGGCATTATACCCAAATCAAACAGGACACGATGATCTGGGCTAAAGTGGGGGTCCAGAGTGTGCCCATCCTGATACAGGAGGATGAAAAGGGAAATGAAACAACTATAGATAGAGGTAAGCTCTGCACAGCAGGCCTCTACCAACTTGAGTGTAGCCTGCATTGCACGACTACACTTTGTAAAGTGTACCTTATACGTAAACTTTTTTTTTAAACTTTTATAAGGTCTGAAAAAAGATTTTCATACAGTAAATCCAAGTCAGGTTAACAGGAAGAAGATAAAAGTCCTATGTTTAAGACACCAGAGGGATAGAAGTGGAGACAGTGGGACTTGGGTCCAGCTATTAGCATTCCTAGCTTTGAAGGCCTGGACAATCCACTGACCCTGTCTTGGTCCAATTTCCTTCAAAAAAAAAAAAAAAAAAAAAAGGTTGGGAAACCACGATTTCCCTGGTCTTTAACAATATGGATGTTTATGATCTCCAAAATAAGTTGGGGAAATCTGAACTGACATCAGCTTTGTAAAACAATACAAAATCTAAACACCTACTCCTTATAAATGGCCATGATCTCATTGTGAGTCAAAAAATGAAGCCAAACAGGATTCTCTGTGAGAACCAAAATATCCTCTGATTCATCACAAAGGCAGGTTGGAGGCAGTATAGATTAAGATCAGTTCTGACCATTTTTGGCTGTCACAGTGACCAAGGAGAGACTTTGTAGTGGAAGGCAAATAGGATGATGAGCTGTCTGGAAAATGTATTAACTGAGGAAGGCTTCATGGCAGCAGGGTTTCAAATATTTCAAGGGCTATCACACAGAAGAGAGGTGTGGAGATAGATGCCTTGTCTTGAGAGGGCAGAAGGAAACAAAGAACTCCAATGGGCATTTTGAGCTACCATAGGCAAGACACTTCCTAAGCAGAAGAGGCATCAGAAATAAAGTAAATATCACTGAAAAACAAAGACTCTCCATTTTAAGAAACAATACGGAGGCTGTTAGCCTAGACACTGAAGCACTGGCTAAGGAATCATAAAGGTTAGAAGACACTTATCTTAAAATTTCACAAGTCTGAAACATTCACAGAATAAAGATAATTAATCACAACATTTCAGAACTGGAAGACACATGGAAAGTTATCTAGTCACTTTAATGTACACTTAAATGATTATTGGCTTTTAAGATATGATTCTGATTTTCCATTTTGAAAAATCCCTGGGTAACTTTCAAACTACAAGAAGGACCAACTATACTGGAGAAGCTCTAATCAGTGAAAAAATGGCAGTGGTGTTTTGGGGCTGCAATGCAGCACATGAACACTTAAGAGAAGGGGAGAAATTTAGGGGCGAGGAGGAAGAAGGATACTAAGGAATGATGCTGAAAAGCAAAACTCCTCTCCTACAGGCTAAACTCCTTTCCAGATGGTATTGTCTGTAGGTGTGAGCCGGTGAACACCCAACTCAACGGAATCAGTTAGAAAAGGACCTCTTTTCTCTTCTTCCTGAGCTTCCTCATTTCTTTACTGATCCCTCCCCTCCCCTCATTCACGACCTGTGCTGGAACCAAGAAAATTCAGGTTACTCTTAATTCCTGCATCCCACCATGTACATGGACTGTAATAAGCAAAAGAGAATAGAGGTGAGTCTACTGGGCTCATCCTGAAGCTAAGAATTCAGGAAATATTTTTATATATCAACCATGTGCTGGATCTTACAGTGAGGAACTTGCATGCCAAAGGATTTCAGGCTAATAATTAATCAGAATTAGTTATTCACTTATAAATAAATTGGTTATGCAAATAAACTGATTTGAAAAGCACTGCTTCACAACACAGTTTTGAGGCATATGTAAGTAAATGTTATAAGAAGGACCTTTTAAAACAAGGTCTCAATGGCAGGTTAAAATGGTGTTCTGAAATGTCAAAGAATCCTTTAATATGTTTAAGCTATGGCCACTATTTAAATTACCAAGAACTGAGTAGGCTAACAGAGAAGATGTTAGGAATGAGAGATCCCAGTCCTGGGATTTCTTGTCAGTGTGGTGAGAACCAGGAAACTGTGAGGATGGGAGAAAGGGGTAAGCTAGAAGGATTTAACATTTCTGAACTGGTGGCATGGCATCTATGCATTTTGTCCCAAAAATTATAAAGGCAACATGATAAGGCAGCATGAACTTAGTTCATAAAAGACAATAACTGTAACCTTGAGAACCACAGCTTTCAAAAGGAAAGCTGTAGTCTTGGTACAACTGGCTTAGCTTGCAAAGAAAAACAACCCAAAGGAATTAAGGCAAAGTACAGGGGTGTCTAGTTATTCAAAAACCATCTGATTACCAGACTCAAGTTCGAAGGACACAGATCTAATTTGAAGATAATCAGTTATTTAAGAACATCACCCAGAAGCTATTTTCCCGCAGTTAAGTTTTCTGTAGAAATGAGTATTAGGGAGGAAAACATTTATCACTCCAGGAATTACTCATATATATTAACACATTTAGGAGAAAGCTATTTTCTCACTTTAGAGGCAAGAAAAAATTGCAGTTGCATACACACTGACTTTTTAACATGGCTGAGATCTCTTTTTGGAAATATTTTAGAAAGAACTTTTCTGACCGAATTTGTAGAATAAGTATAGTTTTAAAAATAAACTATTTGCATTTGAATCAGTCACAAATCATTTTTAGTGTGTGTAATTAGTATTTGGGTCCAAATTCATAAATGCAAAAACATTTAGGCCTCACTAGAGTACAGATATCTTAAACAATACTTTTCATACTTCTAGAATAGGCCTTTGATTTTCTTTTCCTCTGTAGATTTACCTGCCAGGAAAAAACTGAGTAGTTTCTTCCTGTTCTGTTCACTTCATCAAAGTCCAATAAAGGAATTAAATGAAGCGACAGTATTATATACTGTTACCTAGATCTTGACCTAGTAATTGATTTGATATCCTTCTTGTCGTCATCTAATTTCTTGTCCTCGGAAGATTTCGTGTCTTGCAGGTTTTCATCACCCTCATCATCAGATTTAATCTCGGAGCTGCCTGAGGACACGCTCTGCCCCTGGAGTCCTGGTGGCATGCCTACAGAGAAATAGAGACCAGGTAACACCAAAAGCTTGATGCACAAACATACACACACCAAATCACAAGGCTGCCAGCCAGACAATTCATACTGCTGAACTGTGAGCCTTCTGTCACTTTTTTCCTGCTATCTGGTGAAGTTTCAAAAATGCACCTGCGGAAACAAGTTTTTCCTGCATTGGCTCTGAGGTTAAATTCTATTTTGCAATCTTTTGGAGTAGATGGTAATTTCACTGTCTACAAAACATCAACTTAATTGCAATGAAAATCATAATCATGAAAATCACACACCTCAATGTTCTGATTAAGAACCCAAGTAAATATCAGCTATTATATTGAGTTTCTTCCATATGCAATGATTTAATAGAAAAATGTCCTTAAAATATAATTCCCAGGGAGTACACTAAACATGTGCAGTCAAGGCTTCAATAGATACCCTAATGATATTCTGAAATTAGGCTTCTCTTATCTCAAAGAGTAATCAGCACTTAAACATGGTACATATGGAAGGCAGCTCACTGCTCACTGAAGAAATTTCTAGCTTTACTACTGCTCAGCTTCTCAAGATCACACTGTGTTGTAAAATGAAACCTTAATGTAATTTGTTTCTCACGTAGACACATGCCTATCAAGTATTTCCTTCTGATTGCAATTGGTGTATTCTAGAATTTTGTCCCTCAAAATATGGTCCATGGGCCAGGAGCATCCTTATCACCTGGGAAGCCATTACAGATGCTGAATCCCAGTGCTACTGGACCAGAATCTCCATTTTGAGACCTTCAGGTCACGCTTATAATGTTATAGTCTATAAAGCACAGATGTAAGAAAGAGCAAAACCAAATGCTCTTTAAAGGAAAGGTCCACAAAATTATTAATGCTCAGATAAAAATGAATGGCCATGCATATTTATAATTAGTACTCCGATGTGTACAATGGAGAAGTGAAGAGATGGTCTTATGTTTTCCTGAGGTCGTGTTACTCTGTTTATTTTAAATATGAAGGAATGAAAGGACGCCATGTAAGTGATCACTATTCAGCTGGCCAGTAGTAGCTTGGAGAATGTGGACCCATGCTATTGCTTGTAGCATGACTTTCTGGGGACATGCAAAGCCCCTGCAGTCATGTTGGTGGGGGGCAGTGATGAGGCATTGTTACGGGGCTACATGACTCCAGAGTGAAAACCATCCAACCATGTTCCCATTTTTTAAATGTACCTACATTTCCTTCCAGCTCAAGCAACAAAAACAATTTCCTTCCTTCCTATTCATTTGGAAACATCATTTTCAGGCCACAACTAACCACATTAGAGGGTCTGAATGAGTAAAATGTGGAAATAGCTAAAATAAAATTTCCTCTCATCAGTCTGTTGTCTCATTCCCTGCTGAAATGGGATGGGGATTTCAGAGGATGTTTGAGGAAAACAGTTACCGAAGAAACGTGACTTGCAGGCTAGGGTCTAGCTCTTTCCCATTTGCTTACCATTTTGTACCACATTTGATTCTTGGTTTTCTGCCAGTGCTTCTGAAGGCTGACAGCCAAGGACGCTCAGCATCAACACTGAGTCTATTGTTAAAAGAGGACAGAAGTGCCCTTCTGAGGGGGACTTACCTCTGTAAGGGTCCTGGGGTGGGTTCAAGTCAGGGGAAGTTGCGGACTGGACAGGAAGCTGTGGAACCGGAACCTGGTTTGGCAGAAGAGAATGGCTGCCTCTCAGGGCTACGCCATCTTCACGATGGGTCCCAACCTGACAGGATGAGAGGAACCATAATGTTGAGTGGAAATGGAAGGTGTCACGGTTCTTTCCAGGGGGAGCAAAAGACCTAATACAGGAAGGTTGGCCTTTGAAAAACCATTCTTCCCAAATGCATTTCACTAGAGGGCGCTGGAGGACCACACATGTACCTATGGTTCTCTGCAAAAACACTTAACACTCAGTGAGATGCCGTGCTGTACATCCAGTGACAAATATGGCAGAGTAGCTCAGGCAGGTAAAACGTCAAATTGTCTCCCAGGGTGCTGTGGTGGAGCGCACTGATTCGTACCCATCTGTCTTCTATCATGTCCGCCAACAGATCTGACAATTATCTTAATGCCCATATGTTTAATTGTGGGCTTCTCAATTCCCCCATTGCTATCGGAAATCCTACAGGAATTTCAATTTGGCATTCGACTTTCATTTCAGGGGATAAGATTCTCAGGCCTGCCATTTTTTTTTTCTCCATAATGCCAGCTAAGCCTCTGACAGCGGAAGCTACAGCAGTATGGGACATAGCCCCTGCTCGGTACAAATATAATAAAATGTCACCTGGCTTTCCAAAACTGGCAGCCCATTCCAAATTAATGTTTACTGTATTTCATCAGCTGCTGAGTTCCAAATCCAAAGGGGGACCATTTCTGCCAATGCCACCACACCGGAAAATGTACCAATGAAGGTTTTATTAAACACACCAGTAACGCCATCATTGCCATGTAAGAATGTTTGGACAATTTTCCTTTCTTTCATTACTCTGATCCTAGAAAGACACCATATTGTAAACACTCTTTCTGCTTCGAGAATAAAATTATAGAGTACAGCATGATTACTTGATTTGAAAAAAAAAATACTGCTGAGCTTTTTTATTAACTACTACCTACGCTGGGGTCCAGAGACGTTGATCTTGTGGCACCAAGACAGCAGTGGCTGACTTTATAGCATACGCCTTAAAGCAAATCCATTAAGAATTTGTACACCAAGAGGAACAGAGGCGCTACATCTGCCTTTGTATTTCTGAGTGGTTATTTTCTTAGCCTATTGCTAAGTGAGCATTTGTGCTGGCCAGTGGGTCTAACACTAAAAAATGTATTTACCTGTGAATTTAGACCACCATGAATCAAAGCTTACTTTTATAATCCAAAAATCCACAAAGCAGAATCTCTACTCTTTTGCTAACAAAATATTTTAAATGTGAAGACTCTGAACTAACAACAGTCAAATTCCCAGGTTGCAGCTAAGTATTAAACATCACCTTTACCACAGATTCCATTCATTGATCCAAGATTCAACTCTGGAGCTCCGTGGAGTTCAAGCCCTTTCCATATATTTAACCCTGCTGCCATACCGCCATTCCTCTGTGACTTAGGTCTGCTCTTCTACATGCCTACCACACCCACCCTGTTCCTTCAACCATGTCTCAATCACTCTTCCTATACATTTTTATTTTTCATCAGAACAATCGAGTGACAAGCATTTTCCATTTGGTTTTTCATTTGCCATTTTTATATCTGTGCATTTAGAAGACTGACTCAATTGATGGTTTTCTTTTCAGTCTAAGATTTGTCAACTTGTTCACATGCATTTTACAGGCCTTGATCAAATAGTAGCTCTTGATATCTGCCAATCCATGTGAACTTACATAACTGACTTAGCGACAATTTAGACTTATTGGTATTCCTAATGGATGCGACTTCTTGTCACATGTTGCTAACTGTGTGATGAGAAGTTGCCGAAATACAAAATGAAGAAAATAACATGCTCTAGAGAACAACTCCCACATTTATCATAATGAGTATCAAAACTATATGCAAAACAACTAGTGTGCAATAGTTATCTGTAATACCGTGAGTTTTAACAGAAAGGATTGCATACTGCAGAAAGAGAATGGTCCATGAATCCCAAGCACCCTGAAAACTCAAGCTACCTTCACTTATGGTCATCTTTGTGCTCAATGTGTACATTTTGTTCACATTCATTTGATTTTAAATCTCTTTCCTGTACAATACCAGTGAAATCCTAAGCATAATAAATATATTTGAGAACAGATTTGTTTCAACTACATTTTTGTTTGGATTTTAGGTACATGTTACCTAACTTTGTCTTTTCTATAGATTATCTCAAAAAATATTGTTTTCCATAAAGGAAGCTTATGGAATATAAATATATAAATATATATATTGTTTTAAGGTCTCCTTTGTAACTGTGTATTTCAGGTCATATGAATGACCTCTGACAGGTCCAGGTCTGCGTGGTACTGACTTTGGTTCTTCAGGATCCAGTTCACTGCCTGTGGCTGTGGTGTAGTATTCCAGTTTGAAGAGTTAGTTTTGTTTTGTTTGTTTCCTTGGCCACACAGACAGCATGTTCTAACCCTATTTACTTTTCTTTTAGAAACATTATTTCTGTTCACATACAAAACAGGACAGAAAGGCCAGGATGGTCAACACAAATCTAGCACTAGAATAACTCTGAAACAGAGAAATCAACACTGTCATGTATACATGGGAGGGTCAAGAACCCATCCACTTTCCATATAATAGATACACAATAATGTAACTTGGAAAAAGCAGATTCTTTCAACTTACAAATCAGTTCTAAATATGATATGTGGTACAGAGTCTTAGAAAATTCTTATTTTGTTAAAGATTTATTTTGATAAACTTTTCATCTAGATAATAATAAAGTTGAAAGCCAACTGATGAAAGCAGTTATTTTAATAATAGTGACTGTAAATTTTTTCAGTCTTTAAGAGTCTTCTCATAGTCATATATACTGTGGTTTTAGATATACTTATGTTAAAAGATGTAAGTAGAATTTAAAATGCATTAATAAAATTTATTTAATAACTATTGACTTACGAGAGAGAGATAAAGAGATAGCTAGATAGACAGATACACACAAATGTTATCTAACCTTTTTGGGGTTTTTGTTGTTTTTTGGTGGTACTGGGGTTTTTGAACTCAGAGACTGATGCTTGCTATGCAGGTACTCTACCACTTGAGCACACTCCTAGTTCCCCCCACCTTTTCATTTCAGTTATTATTCAGATAGAGTTTTGTGCTTTTTGCCACAGCTGCTCTTGGACTGTGATCCTCCAAACCAATCCTCTGCATAACTGGGATTATAGTACATACCACCCCAACCAGCTTGTTGGCAGAGATGGGCTCTTGCTAACTTTTTGCCTGGGCTGGCCTTGAACTGCTGCGATCTTCATGTTCTCTGTCTCCTCACTAGCTGGGATTTCAGGCATGGAACTATAAATAAATTCATAGGGAAGGAAGCAGAGTTAAGGGGCAGCTGAAGTTTACTTCTTGGAGCCTATGTTTTAAAATGTGTGTACATACATGTGTGGATGCACATACACACCCACCTGCATATATATACGTACACTCACATAGCTCTAGAGATCAATGCAATTTTCTTTATCATAGGAAAAAAAAGATCATAGTTCACCAACTCAGGCCAAGGCCAAGATGTCTAACTAAATTACGAAATTTAATATTTGCCACAAGTCTTCCAACATAAACAGATTTAAAAGCCATGCAGTTTCAAGTTAGGTGGGTGTTGACCAGGCAGTTTTTATACAGGGATGCACAGAGCATCTTGGTAAATACCCTTGTCCTTATCCTCAAGCTAACAACAAACACAACAAACAAAAAAGACATTCAATGCTTTTGCTCTCTTTGTTTCCAGGGAGCATTGTGAAAGTAATTATTCTGTTGTATTTAAGAGGTCTATTTCATGGATGGGAAAAATGTATTAAATTTCATTTGGCAGTTATTCAATCCTAGTTAATGTTATCTCCAGAGATAACTGCTTCAAAACAGCTTTCAGATCCCAGTTACTTCTATTCTACCATAATCCTTCCTAAAGAGTGTAGGTTGGGAACTTTATATGTCATCAATTTCTAGACCTAAGTGATAATGACACACAGCCAGATACACAATTAGAAGATTTACAATTAGAAGATTCTGGTATGTCAAAAACTAACATTTACTAGTAATAGCATGTGGATCAAAATTTCCCTTTGACTTAGGTATTTTTATAAAGAAAAATCACAATGTGGGACCAAAAAAAAAAAAAGTCCTGATAAGAGTTTACTTTTCTCTCTTGTTTTTCCAAAAACGAAAGAAAAGCTGATGGGATTTCACTGTAATTAGAACTTATTGACACAGCAAACAGTTTTGATGTGGACCAGTAATCTCCCCATGAAATATCAATTATACATGATAGTTGTAGAGTACTTGATTTCGGTTTCAATTACCTTGCCAGATCTCTGTCATGGCAGAGAAAAGCAAACTTATTTTCCCACATGTGCAAAACACCATTTAGTCCCAAAGTGCATCTTTTAAAGAGGTGAAAAATGCTCATGAAAACTTTGTTTGGTGGCCCACAGATGGAACGTGAAGTTCACGAAAAGGCATTCTACTGGGCATGATACCAGAAACACCAAGTCTTGTAGAAAACAAGATGTAACTCTAAAAACCAATTCTTGTGAGAGAAAGTCCCAACATCTGGGACACACTTCAAGCACAAATAATAATTTCTGTATTCCTCAGTTAAAAAAAATTATCAGACTTTTTTCTTATTATTTGTGTAACTCAACATTTAAAGAACTTTTTACTGAAGTCAGATCTGGGTTCAATTCTTTTGTTTGGCTTCTGATTTGATTCTTAAAATGTTGATTGGGAAAGATTTCATAACTATCATGAAAACACCTAATTTTTTTTTCCTGAAAAATTTCACAGCTTCTCTTATGCTCTGTCTGAAATTTAATGTAATTTTTTATTGTGTAATTCTTGGGGATTTATTTAATGCCTATTCTACAGAGAACAAGATTATTTTCAAGAGGATTTAAATATGATATAAATGATTCTGACTCTGGCAGTGATTATCTGTCATGTGGTCTGCTAAATCAAAATTCCCCTTGACTGTCCACCAAAATGGTTATAATGAATGATTCTGTGCTATGGTTCAAGAGATGCAAATGG